CCATTGTCTTCAAATGTCACATCACCAATCAACTCCTCCTTATCAGTAAATAAATCCTCCTCACTGCCTAACTCTTCATCACTATCAGGAATTATATGATTTTCGCTCATTTTATCTGCTTCGAAAATCACTTTTTCATTTTTCAGTCATTCCATGTATTCACTATTCGGAGGTTAGATTTCCTTCCTTGTTATTGTCTTTTAATAGGTGATGCGCATGCGCGTCATGCGTTATTTCGGGTTTAAGTGGAGTGTGGGTAGGCGCTCGAAACCCGCTACTTTCCAGTTGACTATAGTCAACTGAAACCCATGCGGTTACACGCGCGTATTATATAAAAATTATATTTCTAATATGCTGAAGATATCACACTCATAAAGCCCGAAATTACCATTTTCTTTCGCTCCAGCACAAAAACCGGAATCCTGTCGAAAAAAGTCATCGAAAAAAGACTGAGAATAAAAATTATCAGTCAAAAACGCACTCAATTAAGGCAGTATCACCCCTGTGACCCTAGGGACTCTTTTTTTGTGAACCTTGCGATCCTCCTGACTTTTATGAACCTAGCGACTCTTTTTTGTAACCCTCTCTAGTGGCAAAATCCAAAATTATAGCGTAACATACCTGATCAGAATCTGATAAGGTAACCTGATCAGTGTCTGATCAAGATCGGACTAAAATTTCCACTCGGGCTCTCTTGTAATCCTTTCGATTGACCCTCCTGTTATAGCTCTTCTTCTGCACGAAAATGGATGAAAGTAGAATTTTTTGAATATTTTTCTCATATTCCTTACCCAAAATACCTACGGCGCCACGGAAGCCAGAATCCTGCCCATAACAATATTATAATTCGATTTGGTAGATATTATCACAAGGAATATTTTGACGTCAAAAATTCAATTCCGTCACGTAGTTGTCGAGATATTGAGGATAAAATTTTTTGAGAAATTGCTTCATCTCGGAAACTACTTGACCGATTCAGCTGAAATTGCGCCCAAAGTAATACCAATTATGTGACGGAATTTCAGATTTTTATCTTTACGGGACCGAACGCGCGCTATAGCGCGCTGTAATTGTAACAATCATAATTGAAAATCTCAAAATGAAATTAATCGTGAATTAAATTTGCCACCTCAGAGGACTGGAACCAATGAAGAATAAGCCTGACAGACTTGCGAGATATCGATAGATATCGATTTTAAGTGTATGTTCTTTTTAGAATTGGAACTTTAGTCCTTTTTCTGTGAAGATTTATAAAAATTTTCCGGAAAATTCGCACACACATCCAGACATACATACACCTGTTTTCTAAAAACATCAGATCTTCACGGTTCATGACATTCTACGTTATTTCCAGACAAAATTTAAAGTTCATTAACATTATCGATTACAAAGCTTCCATTCGGAAGCAGCAGTACACTACCGGTGTAGGAAATTTAACTGTACAGGAGGATAATTTTTGCATCTATAGATGTGTTTTTATTAACGGAACGAATCGTAAAATATTCTTCAGAAATAGGCATTTTTTCCTTGAAATACATTACCTTTCGTACAGTAATATTTGCCACGATTTTCTGGGTAATTTTTCACCAACTTTTTAGTTCGTGTTTCTAACGATAGAGCTACTTTAAATTGACTTCGCCTCATCACATCATCTAATCCTTCAATAGAAGTAAAACTTGCAAATTGTTTCCGATCGTTCAGCACTGGGAACCACCGATGTTTCAGAGTGCCAACCAAACAGCCATTACATAATTAATCCCCGAAGTAGTTCAGTATTCCATGACGAATGAATAACCGTTGATTCGAAGTGCGAGAATAATTGAACAATATCATTAATAATACACAATGCTTTCAGCCATCCGTTAAAAACGTATTATACCCCGGTGATGAGTATGGCCACCGAGGTATAGAAGCCAGTCCAAAACAGCTAATTGAATTCCTAGTACAACTGGTCGTGCCGAAGCGGTTTCTGCAAATCGAAATGCTGTAGTATTGTCGCACTGCGTTGTTTGGCCCAGTTGAAATTCTCATACGACGAAGGACGAAGGAGAGGGGAGGTACAGTGTGCAAGTACTTCCGTGGGCCACACCGAAATTCTCTCGTTTGTAATTCCCCGGAGGGTGTACAGAAACATTCCCGAATACTATTGGCCAATTCGTAGTCCAATGTATATGTCATGGGGACAGTTGAGGACGATTGTATTTGCAGATCAGTTAGCAACATCCTATCTTGTTTACAGTATGTAATGAGGCCTAGGCACTTTAACAACGTATTTTGGATTAATGACTGACAGGTATTAGGAAGGGTTTAATGTGAATTCAATGGGTGGCGGTTGGGATAACGGAAAAAGGGGCCACTGCTTGCTATAGCAAATTCAATGTCCTCTTTTAGCAAACTGGAGAGCTAATCGGTGACAATTAGGAAGCATTTGGAGGAGATTATCGGACATTCGGATGGGACAATGAATCGTATGAATGGGTATAACTGCCCCTATAATGATGGTGGACAATCAGTTTTCTCGTTCGAGGGCTTCACTTGATTCCGGGTTTCTCAATGCGTTGGACAATGGTTATGGAAGGATAGAAGTGAGGTAGGAGGGGTGACTTCCTTTGATGCTACTATGAACCCTCTGTCACGAAGTTATTGGGAATTCGGATGCCATTCGACGGAGGTTATTAGTCTGATGTATTACAGTGTCAGTAATACATCAGTACTTGTGTTTGCATTATGAAAGAAGGATATTCTTGGATGGAGAAGATTTGATTGAATTATTGCACGGGGAAAAATCACGGGAAAAACTGTGTGACAACTCCTGTAATCACGTGGCAGAGTGATTTTTCATGGAAATTTGGGAATAAACTGTCAGACGAAAGGTGCATATTTCCTCTAAATATTGAAGTTTTTTTCAAGTGAAACATAATTTTAATCGAAGGAGTAATATTTGCGCCGTGTGTTGTATCGTTGAATCGAAAATTTTCTAATGCTTTAATAGTGATAAATACAGACGAGAATGGATTGTTTTCTTTCTTAACGGAAGCTTTGTAAACGTGATTCTTCGAAATGTCATGAAACATGAAGAAATTATGCTTTTAAGAAATGTCTGTGTGTATGTATTGTTAATTCTTCTCAATAAAATATAACACCAGTTAAATTAAAGGCTGGATTTCATTGGGACACAACGAAAAGATCTGTTTTATGAAAGGAGTCGAGAATAGTGAAGTAAGAATCTAAAGACAAAAGTATTTTAAAGTAAAAGGGTTTATCTGAATACGTACTTCAGCTTGTGCAGTTTAACGAAGGGCGGAGCACGCAACCGTAACTACGTATATGTGGGCCGGAACTGTATTGATAAGTTTAGAATAGTTATCGCAAAGACGCTGAAATTCCAACTTCTTAGAGGTACTAGTGAGACTCAAATTTGTGGTAAATTTCAGCTCCATCGATATTCCAACGATTCATTTTTTTCCCTAAGAATACTCATTATAATAACCTATCATAATACACAGAGAGAAAAGTTGGATAAAAATGACCTAGACAATCTTGACAAATTTTACTACACGAATGGTAATCGTGGAGCGAAATGTAATTCAATGAAAAAATACTGGTTTTCAGTGGACATCTTACAACTTTCTCGGTACACTGTTAAAAATTTTTGTCTGAGTATTCTGTTGAAATTCAGAAAAAAATTGAAAATTCATGTCATTTTGTTTCTGAATATTCATGTTCCACCGAAAATTCAATCAAGTTGGGAAATTTCCATCTCACTCCCACTGAAAATTTATGAATTTCCGTGAATTCTACTTAAAACTTGAAATTTCATGACCATTTATTCCCTAAATCCGATTCCATGTTATTCTCATGAGATTTACTATAATCATCCATGAAATTGCAAAAAAATTCTAACAGTGTAAAACAAACATCTATGGGTGCAAAAACTATCCTTCTGTATACTAAAATTTGCCACACAGATAGAATATTTTCTTTCTTTCACCCATCTGAAGGTCATAGGAACGGAAGGAAGTGAATTCATACCAAACGAGCTCGGTAAAAATCATTCTCCGTTACAGAAAAATTATATGAAAAATTGGAGTAATTATTCACGTTCACTGGGATAATTTTCGGTGGAATGCAGGGTAAATTTTACAATTTCGATACAAATGACCCTCACGTTCAGTAAATTTTCCCGGGCCAGCAGAGTAAAATTAAAAATATGACTCATTAAAGTGTCTAATATCATAGAGGCAAAGGGTTTTTGTAAAAATATCCGATCAAGTGAATTTTTTTTTGTTTCTTATCGCTTCTAATCTCCTGTAGCAGTTTTCTAGAGATGGATTTTTGCGTTTCCAATTAAGAGTCATCTATTTGAAAATAGACTACTCTTAATTGAAATAGTATATAGTTGAATATGGAGTTGAATCAAGAATTCCCTATTCTTTATTCAGAGAAGTAAAGAGTTTTGAATTGGACAACTTTTCTTTTCCGTGTGCATTTTTGTGTTTTTATTTCCATCGTTAAGAGGATCTAGAGTTTCCTCGACACTTGACTCCCACAATATGGCTTCTTCAACAGTTCTCTAGGATTCCACGTATATTCCATGATAAAATAGTGAGATCGTAGTCTCGATATTGCTCACTCTAGCATGTGCGTGCCTCAAGGTAGTATCATGCTCCGTGAATAAAACTGTCTAACGTGCATTTGTGGAGATTATTTCCCCCTAGAACGACCCATTTATTCAGTATAAAGTGATTTTCCGAATAATTTTCCTGATTATCGACTGCCTCATTCATAGGGAACTTAGTTAATAGATTTTTTTCACGCACGTGGGGTGGCACTTATCCGATAATTTTATAAGGGATCCGGTAATATTTCTAAGAAACTCTGTCCCCTTTCGAGTGGCCTGAAGAGGTATCTTCGAACACTCATCATTATTCGTTGGTTCATCATTTATTCGACAATTTCGCACACTGACCCATATGCTGTGATAATATTTGAGTACTCACCGCATCATTGTGATTCCAAAATATATATGCTGGTGGCTCTGGGCTATTGAGAACGATGCATGTGAGGTTAATCGTACTACCGTGATCGATGTACAGGTCTGGCCCCCCCAGAATTTCCGTTGTTGGTTCTGTAATTGAATTTTTCACTCATTAGTTATGCAATATTGGTCCATTTGTATGATTATTATCGATTTTCAGTTATGGAATTGGTTGTTCATTTAATTTCATGGGATTTCCGTCAGATTTAGGGTGAACATTACACACGAAATTATTTGTGTAGTGATGTTCAGAATAATTGAATTGTTTCAAGTGGAGTTCTGTTTAAAGTATGATAACATGTTTTGACAAAATTCGGACGTCGTCGACCTTAAAAACGAGATTCACTCCATTTTATAGATAGTTTGAGGCTGATGTTCAATTTTTTTTGGAAAATCTTTCTAGCACGTTTGTTTTTCGTGAAAAAAATGTTGAAGTATTAAAAAGTGGCTGAAAAGGGCAATTTAAAAAAATTATAAAAAAATGAATTAAGATGTAGTTTTTCCCAGAAACAATACAATTAATTAATGAAAATGTAATTTGTTTAGTGCATTTGGATTCATCCCAATTCGTTGAGTCAAAGTGAGTGGAAAAAATCTCGACCAAGTCCAAATTTCATATTTTTTCTTGTAAAATTAAATGATCGAAAGTTGGTTGCGCACACTCTAATGCGTGCCAATCTCAAATTTATCTACACACGTGTGTTAACCATGTGCGTTAATCGTTTTATTTTCCAACTTTATTTCAGCTACTAAACCTCTCTACAATTGAGGGTGACTTCGAATAAGAGCAATTAATCGGTTACCTTGCAGGAAACTCATCTTCAAACTTTATGTTAAGTCCAGACAAGGTCAACACATGAGTGTAGATAGTTTTAAAATTGACGGACATCAAATTGTGTGTAACCAACTTCCAATCATTTGTTTTTACAAGAAAAGTCATGAAATTGGGACTTTTTCCGGATTTTTTTCACTCGTCTTGACTCAATCAATTGGGATGAAATCAAATCAACTGAACAAATTGCATTTTCATTCAGTCTTTTTTTTTTGGAAATAAATACGTCCAAATTCATTCTTTTACCAATTTTTCAACTTGTTCATTTTCACCATTTTTGAACATTTCGACAGCTCCGTGAAGTGGGCACCCCACTTGGTTGGATTTGAATCAAAATTTCATAATTGATAGATTTTGAGCTACTCGTGATAGTAGTAACGTTTTTCTTGTTTGTAGTTTGAAATTGAGCGTCCAATTCGTTTTTGAAATACAGTTAGGAACTATTCCATAGTTAGAGTTGGAGTGACATTGGATTCTCGTCTGCAATCGTTTGTAGTTGATTGTAGTTTTGGAATTTTCGGAATCGGAAATCAACTGAGCGTCCAATCGATTTTTGGAGACCAAGTAGGAACTGATTGAAAGCTATAGCCAGAATGAGCTCGGATGCCTGTCTAAAATCGTTTGTAGTTGTTTGTAGTGCTCACAAATTTCCAATGCACTGAGAAAACGGGGTGGCAGACAGTTGA